ACTCCATCGCTATCCGTTGGCTGTCCGACCATTCTATACCATGCCTTGCAGTGATGATCCAGCTTATAGTAATTCATTTGATGTCTTCATTCGAGGCAAGCACTGTTTGATTACCATTTTCTTTTGGAGTTTTTGTTTTTTTGTTTTAAATTCATTTATTTAGTTATTTTATCTCCATTGTCAAATAATATGAGGCACAAATATGAATTTTAGTATGGCCAGTGTACATTCATGAAAAATATTTTTATAATATTTAGAGTGTGTTTGGGAAGCAAACATTTTAGCCAAAAAAACCATTAAAAAAGCCAAAAAGTTATATACAAAAAGGTCAAAGATTCCTTTTCTTCTATACTTTTTACACTTTTTTTTTAGCCAAATAGCCATTCCCACACTTCAATTTTTTCACCTCATATTTTAGCCAAAAAGCCAATTCCCAAACCAACCCTTAGTGGTATTGTATTATACATAAACTCAAAGAATGGAAATTAGTTTAAGAACCAATACCCAGTAGTTAGTTTACTTTCTAATTTTCAGTAGGTCCTATAAAAATTTTATTTCAATATATTATAATTTTTTAACTCTCTCTTGTGACTTTCACTTTTGCATTTAAATTGTTATATGCAAAAGTGTTTGTATGCAAATTTTCTTGTTTATTTGTTGATATCCGAATTTAGTATTGTTATATTTTGCTTGTTATCCCTACTTTCTATGAAGTATGGATATAGATATGGGACACATGCAGGACACATTGATGCCAATTCAATAAATTATAACAAGTGGGGTACTATTTTTATCTTACTATTTTTTTTCACTTCAGTCACATCTTAAACAGCATGACTTCAGCTTGATGACAATATAATTGCATTGTGAAACAGGACATGGATCCAGCAATACAACTTTCACAGAATAACCCATCTACAATGGCACCCTCCCCGAAGGTAAATGATTGAGAAAGGAGGTGCCCACATGGCATATCTTATTTTAATCACTATGTATTTCTAGTAAATTTAGGAAGGATAATTGGAAAAATTGAGAGGTAGGTTAAACTTTAAGTTATGAAGAAACTTAAATATTCGCAATTGGGACCTATAATTATTTACCATCCGGCAGAACAATTATTCCATAACTTTGTGTTTATTT